TACAGTGTGCTGACAAGCAGCTGTTATGTTTCACCAAAGTGCCTGTATGGTGGGCAAAAGCAGTGCCTGTGAGTGCATCATGTGCTTGCACATGGTATCAAGACTGCAAATGCTTTGGCATTCCTTGGGGGTGAATGGTGCTGCATAAGTTACAAAAGTTAGCTATGAAATAGTAAAATAACTCATTGTATCTATGCTATGGGTGGGCTGTGATGGAGCTAGGCCACTGGTGGGCATTTTGTTGCTGTTGATTGAATATAATAATCTTGTCAAAAGCTCCTCTCTCTGTCTGGTGGGAGCTCAAAAGGAACATCGTAACTTGAGAAAAACAAACTGAGGGCTGCTATAAACCCTAGCCAATAAACTTGACACAGTAGCCACCACAATTTGACTTATTCCAACAAATGGCAAGAGTGTTCTTGTCAAAGTGCTGCCTAGGTGTGTATCACCACTTCATCATGTACACGTCCCACTTGCTCTGGATGTTGAGATCCTTGTATACCCAATACGCCAAAGATCAGACTTGATTTGACAAGTCAGGCTTTTGTCATGTTTATCCAGCTTCTATGAGCGTACAAGGAGTAGGGCAGCTATCCACCATTTCCTGTACCAAAGCACTAAAGAATCCTGCAACATTAGGATTTAATTCCAGAAAAGGATGTTGTATTTACTTTCATACTGGGTAACTAACATTGTGATTTGCTGGAAGTTGAAAAATAATAATAGTAGAACAATTATGCCTAACTGAACATCTTTTCCAGATGCTCTCAAAACAAACAAACAACAAAAAAAAGAACACTTTTAATCCATAATGCCATCCCATAGAAAACTTTCTACGGGCAACAATACAGAGCTCGTTTTAACCTTAAAAAATTACGCCATTCATTTCAGCAAGTTGGGAACTTATCATGAGATCTAGACTAGCTCTTGCTATTCTCAATGTCCATTACCACTCAGAGTGCTCCAAGTTGTTTCACAGAAAAAATGAAATCTTGCTCTTTAAGGAGGTCACAAAAGATTTTAAGGAGGAGAGCTTGAAAAGGGCACACTGATTCACAGACATCTGAAACAATTTTCATGCTACTGCCCAGGAGAATAAACCAAATGCTCCCCTGGGGAGGACAGGAGCTTGCCATCAGGGAACATATGGTGCTCCCGTGTTTAGCACAAGTGTTCACAGATACCCTGCAAGCAGCCTCCTACAGCATACAAGGATAATTGAGCTCTATTGATGCTATCATTGCAAGATCACTTGGATCAAGGTTGACATCTGCACTGAGAAACTCTATGCCTGGGGTATCTCCAAGTTCACTATGTGAGCCACACGTTGTAGACAGTTTTTGCACTTTCAAACCTCTCAGCATAATTTAAAAAAAAAAAAAAAACCTAAGCCAAAACCAAACACAAGAAGCCACACAACTTTTCTTAATATTAAGGGTATTCTCTGATAGCCTATCCAAGAAAGGGAGATGCCAGCTAAAGGCCTGCAGATGCCTTCTGACCAAATGACTGATGTGTGTAGTTGGACAACTTAATAAATAAAATCACTGGTAATATTTATGCCATAAAACAGCAGGCTACATCTTCCCCAGACACAAACAAAATCCTGTAACACGTCTGCTTAGCTATGGAAACAACTTAGTGCTATGTACAATATTCATTAGAAGAGTAAGTATGACTAGAGCTGCAAAACTGTACTCCAAAGGAGTTTCTATTATTAATAGCATACTGATACACATTTGCAAAAGACTATGCCTTCATTCCTATTTCCCACACTAGACTACAACTATGAAATCAATTAGACTCAAAGGGAAAGGTTTCTATTTGTTTAAAATTTTGTCAGGTCCACAACCTGCAAGGCCAAATTTTGCTTGGCCTGTGTAGTGCTGGCAATTTTACTTGAAAAGAAACGTCAAGCTCCAGACTGCAAACAAACAGCAAAATTAGTGACTGAAATCCAAATATGCCCTGAAACAGTTATAGTCTTTCTTCAACATTTGACTAAGTTTACCAAAACACTCAGCTAATTAAAAGGTTTTACTTGTCAGACTGCTGGTTTCAGCCTTACTAAGCAAGCTTAGGCACAATGAAACCATGGGAATTTTTGTTTTTGTGAAATACATGCCTGAGAAAGACTGTGATCAGTCTCTGCTGTAACACTGCTGTAGCCACGTTTAGGTCTCTTCCAACTGCTAGTTTTGCATTACTGACCTCGTGAGTGACTGGGGCAGCATGTGACAGAAAAAGCCAAGGGTGACCTTATGACAGGTCTATGGGCCCAGCTTGCAGTGAAACTTTTATAACCTCCGGACAAGCTTCAGATGCCTAGACAGCTGTCACAATCTCAATGAAATCAAGAAATGTTTCTTTTTTCTTTTCCTTCTTTTTTTTTCTTCTTTTTCAACCTAAGAAGCTTCCTCACACATGGGCAGATGAAGGTACCTCCAGACTGATGAAGTCAAATAATTTAAGATGGGAGAAAAAATAGAAGGAAGAAAAAAGGACATTTTGACATTTCCGAATTGTCCATTTCACATTTACATTTCAGAAAGAAGCTCCACGAATTGGGAATGAGTACAGACTGGCTGTCCATTTTAGGAAGCATTAGGTTTTCAATCTCTCTCTCTCTACTGCACATTTTATTTCTTGCTCCCTCAGTATTTCTGAAGCAGGTCTTTTTTGGCAGTGAATTTGAGGCAAGTTATTCTCAGGTTTTCCAGCACAAAACATACAGCAAGACAACACAGTTCTCATATTCTCAGCACCACCTTTTCTATCATTGCACATCACTCTGAATAGGGATGCAAGGAATGTGCCATATTTCTCTACCTTTGTTTGTCCAAAAAGGTATTTGTTACCCAACATCTTGCATTGTCAGCCTCTTCCCTTGTGCCTACTGCTGTGGGGAACAGCACTGATCATAACTGGCTCAAATCTGGGGTTCAGCTGACCTGGTTGCATCTTCCAATGTGGCAGGCCCATACCTTCATTTTGGACTGCCAGATCTTTACATAGATGCCTTGAAAGTAGTTTATATAAACTTTGAACACTTAAAAAATAGACTTCTCATTCAATATGTATACATGTAAAACCTGCAAATGCCTGAAAGTGATGAAAAAAGCAAGAGCCAGATACAAGTTCTAGTAACTAATTGTGGACTTTGCAATTCTGTCAACTTGTACATTATAAAATTGTTTTAAATATGTTGAAATAGCACACAAAGTTGTTTGGGTTATTTTTTAACCTTTTCTAGTGTATATCAACCAAATCTGCATGCCTAGCTTTTATCCTCACTGATCAACTTGATACTCCTAAAGTGAAAGAAGAGATTTTCAAATCAGACAGAGCAGAGGCCCAGATTTCCACAGATGTACAGAATAAAGTGAAATTTAATTCATCCTTACTTATCTTTCTCCATCATGCAGCAGTCATCATCACTTCAAAAAATTATTTCAAACAATACTTACATTAATGGCAAAGCACAATAGTAGAAATTGCTGTGAAATACCTAACAATATACTGCAAATGGGTGTGGTACTGTGGAAACCTAAAGTTGACCACTGTGGTGGTTGGTTGTTAGTTTTTGTTTGTTTGTTTGTTTTTTGTGCAAATGTAAGAAATTAATCCCTTTGTGGGACAGAGAAAGAAGTTACACAGTCACTTCTAAAAATAAAGGATTATCATATTCCCACAATGCTTGCCTGAAGTATATGAGATCAAAAGTAACTTAAAAAATATTTTCCAATGATAGCTAACTTGAAGTCAGAAAACAAAATTTGACTTAAGTCTTCACCTTGTCCTTAAGATGTTTGACAGGGTAGTATAGAAATGACAGCATATTGCCATCTCGAGGCTCCATAGCAGTACTGCATGTTCAAAATGTCATTTGTCACCAGGCATAACAGTAATTTTAAGCCATATATGCCAAAGGCTCCATTATAAACATACACCATTAACACCATATGTTTTATCTTTATTTTTATGCCATGGCCTCTGCAGATCCCTTTCTGGGCTGAGTATATTTTAAAGAAGGAAAATCCTTAAGAGCAAAACTTAAAAAAAAGAAAAAGCAATTTTAGCATTACATCTCTTTTCAGAAGGAGAATCGATAGTATTCATCTCATTATTACCAGAAAATCCGCAGTCTAAATTTAATTAGTAATACAGATTTCTTGGTTTCTTTGAAATTAATACTAAAGTTTAGTTCAGCGCCAAAGACAGATTCAATTTAAGAGACAAGTTACATTAAGAGATTATCTAAAATCACTGCATGTAATATTATGAAAAAATATATACAGAATTACACATATTGTATTTCTTGATATGCATACAGTAATAAGAAAGGAGCTTCCATAAAGAAAATAGCATGCTTTCCAGACATTTTAGTGTTGGTATAAAGCAATAAAAAATCACAAAACTGCATTCAAAGGCAACAGCCATGCCAGTGATCATTATAAGAACCCAGCTGTAAATAAACCCTTATGTCATAAATTGCATAACATTGGCATCCTCCATGAATAAAGTCTGCAAATGCCAAATATGTAGCCACTTTCATGTTTTAGTCTTTTTTTTCCTTTTTTATTTTTTATTTTTTTAACATTGACTTCAGAGGAGATCACTTGGGAAACACGTGTCTCTGTTGATATACTCCTTGAAATCACAGAGAATACGTTCTGTTGAATTTACAGTCATATGGGGAATACCAAGTTAAAACTATATTTGTACGTATGTGATTGTTACACATAATTTTGACAGAAGGTCAGAGATATTGGATTTTGCCTGTTTGTGCAACCAATTACATCTATAAGGCTACTTTCATAAGGCTACTCATTTACCAGAGCTTCTGTGCTGTTTTTCTCTTTGCTAAGCAAAATTGCTTCTACTTGAAACACACAAGTAGCCCTTTGCAGGCTGCTGTTCTTACACCTCTGATCAAGCACATCTTACTGAGCTCTCTGATGGTCTTTACCCAAACATGAAAATACCTCACTGCAAGTTACCTGCTTGGCTTGGAGGCTGCCAGCCCGAGTACTTGGCACTGCTTGGGGGTCCTGTTGGCTTGGGCGCTGAAGGAGATGTGGCATTGTTGGTGGGGGTAGATCTAGGATCTGGGCTTTCGTGGCTGGCAGACACATTCCTCACTGAAGTGGCAGTGTAAGTGGCAGGTGGGGTAGGCTCCATGGAATCACTGTTCAGAAATGAGGGAGAAAGCAATAGGATGTATGGTCAAGTATTGCCTTGATCATACAACATGCAAGCACTCAGACACATTATGAAGCCAAAATATAAATTACCAACCTTGATTTTTGTCTCCAGATTTACAGGGTTAACAAGTTTCACAATGAAAAGAGTATATCTGAATGTTCAGTTTAGTGAGTAATAGCTACTGCAATTAAAGTCTTTTGCTAATAGAGGTAGCTGTCACTGATGTTCCAGTTGATTTCTTATATGCAGTGCTTACAAGTCCAGTAAAGCACAAAGTGCATTCTGTTACATTCAAATGCTAAAAGATATTCAGACATCTGAAGCATTTACAGAGTATGTTAGACTTCTCAAAAGCTTAGTATACAAGTCTTTTTAACAACGGATTCTGAGGAAGTAGAGATACTGAATAAAAATTGTCTTTGCAGACTGAAAGAAAAAGGATAGGAAGACATTATCTGCCATTAAGCAGCAGCTCAATGCTACTGACAAAGTAGTTCAGGAGACCAGCTTCCAGAAAAAAACTTCTGAAACTTCATTGTCACAAAAATGTCATTCTAAGTTGTTGAGTTCATTTGACACATAACTCACCAAACCAATGGACCACTCACTGGATAAGGAGCTGGCTGGATGTTCACACTCAGAAAGTTGTGGCCAGTGGCTCAACGTCCAAGTAGAGACTTATGACAAGTGGCATTCCACAGGGATTGGTGGTGGGACTGGGGCTTTTTAATGTCTTTGTAGGCAACATGGACAGTGGGATCAAGTGCAACCTCAGCAAATTTGCGGATGACACCAAGCTGAGTGGTACAGTTGACATTCTAGAGAGAAGGGATGCCATCCAGAGGGACCTGGACAGGCTTGAGAGGTGGGCCCATGACCAGCTCATGAAGTTCAACAAGGTCAAGTGCACTTGGGTCAGGGCAATCTCAAGCACCAAAACAGTTTGGGTGGAGAATGGCTTGAGAGCAGACCTGATGAGAAAGACTGGGGTGTTGATTCATGAAAGATTCAACATATGTTGGCAATGCATCCATATCTTTGTCTCACTTTAAAGAACCCCAGAGATATTCCACTTTTTACAAGCTAAACTTATTTCATGCTTCAGAACTAATGCTTCAGAACTAATTCCTAAACATCTTACTTTATCTCCTCTTATGTCAGAAAGCACTCAAACTTCAACTATTTTTATCCATCTTTATTAATAGTTATGTATCTGAAAGAAATGAATTGGTTATGGAAAAGAACTGCAGTTAATTTTTCATTAGAAGACTGAAGAAGGAACAATGGACCTCATGTGTTTACCAAATTCCACATAAGCAGCTTTCTCAGACTTTCCAAGTAACACTGAAAATGTTCAGGTTATTCTGATGTCAAAACACTTCTACTGTCGTTAACGTCAAGCCTATCTTCTACCTCTAGTTTTAACCTTTTAGCTTTGTTTTATAATTCAAATGATTTCTTCTCCAACTATTTAATACTTATAGCAAGAAAAAAGTCCATATTGAAAGTTAACACACGTTATCACTGCAAACGTCCTTCTAAACTTAGGGTAGAAGAACATGTGGTCTCTCCAAAATACAAATGACAAATGTTCCTAGATGTAACCAGAAGAGTCATGTTCATTATAAAAAAGATGGTACAAGGTAATGAGAGCTTACTAGATGCAATAGAGGGGTGATGAGTGGGCACCATGTGTGGAAGGAAGCAGGTCCAGGTCACATGTGAAATGAGGATCAGTTTCTCAGACATAGCTCCTAGATAGCTGCAGCCATGCTTCCTTTTGAAAATCAGGTGCTGAGAACACTTCAGAAGTATTCTAGGAAATTAGCACTGGAAAATCCTCCTGAACATATTCAGACATTTTGATACCCTCTCTTCTCTCCCTTCAAAAAGCAAAGAGAAGAAAAACAGATGGTATGGGGTTATAGATGCCTAAACCTCCATCCATCCTTAAAAGGAAACTCTTGTACAGAGCTGTGTAGCAGAAATACATGCTTTAAAGAAAATAACTACATCTTATGCGGTTGTTAGCCAAAGGAAGAGCAGTGCTCCTAGCAGAAAATTCAATACAGGTCATCATACAACTTCTAGCACTGCTGAAATGGTAACAGAGACAAATCTCAGACTTTCCTGAGCAGACTTTTTCTAATGCAAGTTCAAGATAGTATGGTATCCATCTGTAAACATCAACAACTAAGCCTCAGCATGTACTAGTAACTCAGTCTGGTACATCAGTATTTTCCAAATAGTTCTCTGTGTTATAAATGATATTTTCACTCCCGCTTGTTGCCCAGAAAGACTGTGTGAATTGGGAACAAATCCCATGGGGTCTGAAGCAGCTTGCCAACAGGAAAGGTCACATAACATCTAAGAGTCTGTAAGAGCTTTCTTCATATGGCCAGGAATTCTGTGAGGTTATTTTCCCTTATGAACAATAAATCTTTTAAGACAAAACAAGACAAAGGGGGAAAAAAAGAAAAAAAAAAGGTGTGAGCAAATCATTCTTCTTGGTTCTTGGCACAACCAAGTGGAATGTGATAGCTTTGATTCTGCTTTAAAGAGTCTATAAAGAGTCTATATATATATAAACAAACTAGTAAGAATTCCTTTGTGTTAAACATTACTGCCTGTCAGTTACCTGTTCATCCCAAGCAGGCATAGAGTATATACTGCAGGAACTTATGTAACTTCTAAAATGTATGCACAGTGCTTGATACAGCTCTGAAGAAATGAGAAACTTTTAATACAAGATTTTTGAGGCATTTATATTGAATAAACTTCGAAATGTAGCAGTCAGGAAAGAATGAGTTCTCATCTCTAGGGCCAAGTAAACTGTTGCACAGATGCCTCTCCAAAGAGTTACATACAGCAGGATATCAGCACAGCCCAGATAAAACTTGATCCTAAAATCTCAGTTTCTTGCTTTTAGTTACATTGTTTAAGTCATATATTACTCATGACATATCTTGTCTGGTATCCACATACACATTACCTGAAGATAAATGCAGAATATCAGATATCAGAAAAAGCCAGGCATGAAAATCATAAAACCCCACAAATGAGGGAAGACAGTTGTCTTACACTCTTGCAAAAATGCAAGAAATACTAAGTGCTAAATGTATTCCTACTGCTATTGCAAACCCAGAGTCACATTCAACTTCTAAAAATGGCATTTACATTCTATATTAGCCTAGCAGTGTTCCAGTAACTTGCAAGAAGGAAAAAAGGTGCAAAACAAAATAAAAGAGCAGAGAAAGCTGTGTGGGCAGAAGTATTTCCATATCAAGTTCCAGTGAGGACATACATTACCCTTGTGTAAGCAGTGGTCTGCACAAAAAGATTTCAAAACTTCTTTCAGAATAAATATTCTCCCACAGGTTCAGACTGTCTTCTTTTCAAGTAATTGTACACTACATTGGGTCGGGTACTTAAAGCAAAAGTCACATTTACATCTATTCTTGCTAATGTTTCCCAAAACTTCAGGGACTTTTTTGCCATGTGGTTTAATTTTAGGGAAAACTTTTAATTCTTGGAGAGTCAAGATTATTAAAGACATTTGTTCCTTTGGTTTATATATGCAGTTTTGGGGTGGAGGGGGTGGGGATTAAAAACAAATTATCACCAAGCCCTATAAAACTTAAGGATCCATTGCCAACAGGATGACCAGTTTGTAAAAGACTGCATGGATACACTATACAACAACAAAACACAACGCATTCTGAGGGATCTGGCAGAGGAATAAAATGTGTAGATATTTAACATTACTTCAAGCCAGTTAACAACAAATATTGCATTAGTCAGAAAAATGCCAAATTTTCCGGAAGCTATGCAGTACAGTGATGTTTAAGACAGCAAGCTTTTCAGAATAGAAATGAAGTGAAAGAGATTCAATAGAAATAATTCCAGAGCAACCCTCCTGCAGAACAAGATCTAAATACTGTTTTTGCTGTATTTACAACCATCTTGTGTTCTTCCCTAAAGACAGTGTAAACATAAGCTATCTCAGTAAAATAGATTCATTACCCTTTTGTGAAAAGTATTTAACATAGAGCTAGAAAACACAAAACTTGAAGTTGTTGAAGCTTATTTACCTTGACTGTCTCAGTTGTGTCGGTTGTTTATTGAACAAGTCAGTGTATCATATGATGCCATACCCTCATCTCTTTATGGACATAAGATTTTAGCTCTACTCACACACCAGCTATTGCTTTGTGTCATTAAGTGAGCTGTTGTTTAAAATAACTTTTCAGCACTGTATTTGTGCAGATATTACATGTCATTAGACTGATGGTAACGCAAAGACATTTTAATATCTAGTTTATCATAGAATTATAGAATCACTCAGGTTGGAAAAGACCTTAAAGATCATCAAGTCCAACCATGACCTAACCACATTGCCCTAACTAACAACTCTCCACTAAATCAGATCCCTGAGCACCACGTCCAAATGGTTTTTAAATACATCCAGGGATGGTGACTCAACCACCTCCCTGGGGAGCCTATTCCAGTGCTTAACAATCCTTTCTGTAAAGAAGTTTTTCCTGATATCCAACCTAAACGTACCCTTCCTTCTCCTGAAGAAACTATAAGCATAATTTGCCTTTTGCCTCTACTTTTGCTACATGTTTCTCAGCCTATGCAATGAGACTGCGTTACCTCCCTAGTTACAATGAGGCATCGCAGAGCCTAATTTCCATGGCTCCATCTAGTGGCAATCTCTTCTTCCTTAAGTGGCACTGACAGCCCAAGACAACAACGAAATTAGACACTGTTACCCTAGTATGTTGTGCACAAGCTTTGTATCAACACCAGTTACTTATGCATTTACATCTCCAAAAGTACACTTCCCAAATCAGGAGAGTTTCTACTTGACTCGTGAGCAAAAAGTGGATAAACAAAGACAGTGTCACAGTCTACAACTGAAATGCTTACATTCTTGTAACAAGCTAACTTCACTTGCAGCTTATGCCACAAACACAGAAC